GAGAGAGAGAGAGAGAGAGAGAGAGAGAGAGAATAAAAAACACACACACCAAACGAGCGGAACTCGGAAGCGGGGGGGGCCGTTCGAACCTCCTGACCCCTCCCCCCAGCCTACGGGCTTGAAGTGCCTTTTGACTTGACTTGTGACTGGACCAAATGACTTGTGACTTGGTTTAGACTTCGAAAACTTACTACTACCTTTGATTCAAAGGCATACGCCATTAAAAGACCAATATGATCTTGCACTTCTATGATAATGCACAATCACTAGTCACTTCAACATAAATTAAACATGACGATCGTCATCTAGAATGAACCAGCCCACACAAATTGTATGAACCAATCGTACGCGAAGCCTGTTGTACATAATCACACGAAGGCATTTGCGCGTATACGGGCGAGTTTGTTTTCCCAACGGGGTTAAGATTTGGTTTTCTCGGAAAGTACACGGAAGGCTACAGCGTTGTGCCAGAGCAGTTCCCGAGGGTTTTCAGCTATTCCATTCGTAATACTACACGGCCCACGCATATACAATGTATGTTAACATAGGTTCCATGCATTCTTATAATAGACGCGCAATACATTAACACGTCTGTACTACCGGCAAATCCATCCGAGTGAAGTTACCCAGAACATTATCAGCATAAATTACAGCCTTAAAAGAATCGCACAGGGACTGAAGAAAACTTCGGTGTAGAACGTACATGTATGTGCCAGTACGCTGTTCATTCAGTATCCATGAAAAAACCCAAACAACTCAAAGTTCGTGTTTGGCGTATTGATTTTAATTACACCGAACCATAGTAATTTGCAGCACACCAGGAATGGACTAGTGCGTGGTGACTGGTGTTTGGACAGTCTGGAGCCAGAATGGTTCAAACATCGCTGCAAAGTTCAGAAGAGTACGTGATATTCAGGACATTGATAATTTAACCCCTTTTAAAATTGACCCTCTTTTAAAATTGAGCCCTTCTTATCTTTGTTATAATCAATATTTGGGCTTCGGACTGTCCAAACAGCAGTCGTTGCGCACTAATCCATTCCTGATGGCTTGCAAATGACTGAAGTTCAATGAGGGTTATCATAATCAATACGCCAAGCACAACCTTTGAGGCTCTTAGGAGTTCCAAACGGGACCAAGAGAGGGCGCAATTTTCCTAGCACAGGAGGCTCCTTTTGTCGGAACTGCACTTCCCTGTTCAAAAAAGACTAAGAAATGCACCCGTTAAAGCTACCAGCAAAATTAACAATCCCGACCAACATGGCTCTTTTCAACCGAAGAGGGTGTGCTTCTGTTCTAGGCAGATTCTGTGAATAGGATTGAACAGGGTATTTATTACTTTGTTAAAGGTGGCCGTGGTTTTGTACTTTGCGAATACTTTAAGTCTACACCAAAGTTTTCTTCAGTCCCTGCGCAATTTCTCTTGAGGCTTTTATGCTGATAGTGTACTATATATTTTTTATCCAGATGGATTTGCCGGTAATGGACTTGCTGATAAATTGCACCTCTATTACAAGAATACATGGAACCCGTGTTAATGTTAACACATGATGGGCCGCTCGGTATACTCTCTAAATGTGAAAGTCAGAGAGGAAAAGTCACTAAAAAGTGAGTCCCTCATAAAACCACTCTAAAACAGTGGAAACCACTTTTAAAAGGGTAAAGCAACTCTGAAAATAGTGCATCACTCCAAAAGAGTGAAATTTCCACTCTGCGAGGAACCATGTAAAGGACAGCTCGAAAAGATTAGTCCCTTATGGCTCCTCCTTTAGGGTGATTTTCGCTCTTTCAGAGTGCTTTTACACTCGTTTTTACATTCGTTTACACTCTTTTTGAACGGATTTATGAGGGACTCGCTCTTTCTGAGAGTGACTTTTGCTTTTAGAGTGTATGTATGAGTGAAACCCTAAACAGTTCTGGCACGATGCTGAAACTGTCCCTGAGTTTCGTTTATCTACTTTCCCGAGAACACAACCAAATCTTAACTCCGTGACGAAAACAAACTTTTGCACGTCTGAATAAGCAAAACCCTTCGTGTGAATTCACAGCAGGCTTTACGAATGATTGATGCACACAATGCGTGTGGGCTGGTTCGAGACGAGGATTGTCACGTCAATTATTATTTTATGTTTAGTTGATATTCTTTTTACTTGACTAATCATATTTTTATTGGATATTACCATAGAAAAATGCAAGATTAGGTTTTTTAATGGCGTATGCCTCGAATTCATTAAAAGAGTTAACAGCCCTCATACATTAATGGTCTAGATCGATTGGATCTTGACACTCACCTGAAGCTTGTCTCACGAATTCTCGGGCGTGTTTTGGCGACCAGAACCATGAACTTGTTTCAGCTTCAATCATCGGTTAGCGTTTTCGCGACTTAAATTATGCCTCTGTCACGTCATTGTTCTGACCGAACGAGAACCGAAGGTTGCGTTAGCGCCGGTCCAAAATGGCGGAAAATGAACAGACAATTTTGGTCGCCCCTCAATTGAGTGAATTGCACACAAATTTCTTGTTACATGCAGCGAATGAAGGAGTTCGTTTCTTCTAGAACGCACGTGAAAAGCGAGAGGGCGGCACTGATGAGAAACATGGCAAATATTGAGTGAAAACGATGTTCATCCTTGCGTTTACCTCTGTCAGATGACGTGATTTTTTGTGTTTTTTGTGTGGGCCACCCTTAATTTGTTCAAGATTATTGCTTGGTTATGGTAAGGGATCGCTGAAACATTCTCCTTCTAATAAGGCCAACTGTTGTCTTTTGATTGGTCTAGAGGGCTGAAATGATGACGTAGTAGAGACTCCACAGGCGGCAGTGGCGTAAATATGAGCCGGAAATGGCATGGCGGAGGGGTAATAGGGAAAGGTGGGAGATGACTCGCCCGGCAGTGAAAATTGGACTCTTTATAAGTGACGGTGTTCGCGATATTGATGTACATTTGTAATATGTTTTACATTCATGCAAAACCTTAAGAATGGCATATTTATGGCCTTTCTAAAAACATTATTTTCCCTTTTTTGAGTGATGTTTAATGCGTGTTAATCATTGGGACATCCGAAAAATTCTTCACAACCCTCTTTAGTTGTGTGCAGGCGTGGCATACATAGTGTGGACCTCTGCACAAAAGAAGTCCACATAATGTAGGGTATGATGGCATTGTGTGGGTGTGTGGGTGTATGTGCGGAGGGTGCTTCAATAGCTCACCCCCGTGCTAGGGAGGGAATACATGCTTCACCACCGGGATTTACGCCCATGACAGACGGGTAAGCACTACTAACGTAGATGTGCCTAACCTAGGTTCACAATTTAGTTCAACCAAGAAATGTTTCTTTTAATTTCAGCTGTTTATTTGCTGTTGCTCATCTGTCTTCCTTTGTTTTGCTTTTCTGTTTTCATCAGTTGGACGTGCAGATTACTTGACCATAGACGTTGATGCCAAGTAGGAATATTTAAGGTGAGGTGGAAAATGAAGTGCGAACAACAACCTCTGGGCGTCTGGATTTTGTTTCAGGGAATTAAACATTTTAATGTGTTGTCATGTATGAACAGTTTGGTCTGAAAGGCTTCAAAACCATCGTTTGAACTGCAGGAAATTAACTACAAAGTAATCTTGGAGACGTTTAACCCTAAACGAGCCGGGAGCAGAATCCACCCTCTCGATTTTTTTTTGCTGATTTCGCCATGATGTATTTCTTTCAGGACTTAAGCCTTTAAGAGTTTTTAGAGTAACTCTTTGCGGTCATCTTGACACTGATTTTGTGAAAATCAAACCGTTCTTGTGCAACACGCATTTTTCCGAGACAGGTCAGCCACAAATTTATACGGTTGTCACGGTGGGTCTCAATGCACGCGGGCTGGCACGCATGTAGCATTGAACTTCAAATAACTCTAACAACAATACCACAAGTTTGATTGGGTTTAAACTTCACATTTGTAATGATAAAGACTGTCTTTACGTGCATAACAAGTTTCAAAAACATCGAGTGAGGCACTATACCAGGCAAGATATAGGACGGAGGGGTACCCCCCTTACCTGTCCAATCCCTATACACGCTCTAGACTATTGTTACCTAACACAT